TCTTGCAAAGAATCCAGTCAATGACGTAGTTAGACAGAATGGATGAAAAGACGCAGCCCTGTCGGACACCAGACCGGATATCGATCGATGAGAGATTTTCGTGGACCAGAACGCGTGCGGTGGCAGACCGACGGTGGGCCTTGATCATGGCAATGAGTTTGGTAGGCACTCCATCAAGTTCCATTATTCGCACAGGGACTCATGATGGATGGAATCGAATGTGGCGGCGAAGTCGACAAATCAAACGGCCGTCGGTTGCTGGTAGTTTTGGCAGAATTCTGGAATGCGCCTAAGTCGGAACTCATTCGTCCCGCTCTGCCCAGCCAGCAGCCGCACAGTGGCTAAAACAGATAGCGCTGCCGTTAGCGATCTGTGAACGGCCATCACCGAGTGTCAATTTCCCCATATTTAAACAGGCAAGACAATGAGCCGCTGGCTCAAGGGTTAGAGCCCTCAAAGAAGAGATAATTTTATGCTAAATGGCCATAATGGGTAATATTTTTGTGCAAGGTGTCTATAAAATATATTTGAATTCACAAGGGCCTGAAGAATAGGTGAAAAATATACACTACTCAAGTAGTAATTGTACTAGAGTACAGTTGCTATTTCCAGCAGAATAAATTTGAAATTCTCCACACCTGCCTTCTCCAGCGAAAGTCCTGTCCGACCTATATACGGTTGTTTCCCTCTTACAAAGGTTGTCCTCCTTTCTCTGAGCTGCGTGCCTGTGTCCCCTTTCTCCCCCGAAATGCTGGCCGCCCTCCAGTGTTTACCCCTTTCACTCGATTTCACATGCCTGAAGACTGCCTTCAGCCCCCCGGTTCGGCTCCCTTGCTTGTTATCACCTTTTCCCACGATGGTGTCGACCCTCCGCTGATGCCAGAGACAACCGTTTCGACTTACGGAGATGAAATCCCGTGAAGTGACTTTGCAGTGGCGAGCCCGCTGTCCTTTCCTTCCCTCCGCCCTTCTTGACCCAGTTGCCGCGGCTACTCCGAGAACCACTCGTCCAGTTATCTCTCCCCCCCGCCGCCGCTGACACTTTCATCTTTACTTCCGTTCACGAGCCTCCCCCTTTTCGCGCTATTTTTAGACCATTCAGATGCTACATAAATTACCTCCTGAGCTCATAAAAAAGCAGAGCCACGCCCTCTCTCCCACTAAAACACACACACACACACACACACACGCCTTCCCAAGACTAGTTTCGCTCTGCG